ACGTTTTTATTATTTCTATAAGTCTCGCATTCTAGCAAATTGAGAACCCTGTTGTGTATTCGTGGTCCAAATGTTCTAGGCGCCGAATGTTCTAGGCGCCGATTGTTCTAGGCGCCGAATGTTCTACGCCGAATGTTCCAGAAGCCCACATGTGTACATGGGGCGCCGCGGGACGAGCGGGGAGTCAGTGTTTCGATCCCGCTGTTTCGCCGATATTGACGCCTGCGACGCTAGCCTTCCTCTATTTTGTTTTGGGCACAAGTTCGTCCTATTAAACGTTTAGTTTCTTCAGTTATTCGAAGCCTCATCGTTTGTCGTTCGTGACAATATCCTCGATAAAATATCCAGGTGTGCACAGTTTTATTATACACCCAGACGCGGTTCCGAAGCCAAACCGCTGCCTACACCTGGTCCGGGCAAACGCCGACTCGTTCGTTAACAAAATTTCATTTCATTGAGCGTCGTAATTGAGCGCGGTCCTTGCGACAGAGACGATGATTAACGCACACTCACAGGAAACGCAACAATTAACCTGCAGGCTGCCACGCGTTGAGCGAGAGCAGCGGAAAATGGAAGGACGTTGGTTTCGTGGAATAACGAGCAATATGGGATGATTGCCGTCCTGCTGAGTCGCCCGAATGCTTGTTTTTATGTTTAATATTTATTTCACTATTTTAGAGTGGGTATCTTAATGTTTTATTACTTTGTTTGTGTGCATTTCAGCGTCATCCGGGTGTAGACGTAGCGAATATTTGGCGAATCTGGCGATCGACTGATTAGGCGAACCTTAGACCTTTCGTCGAACCGGAAAATCGACCGAATCCGCGAGCTTCCGAACTTTTGGCGAAATTCGGCGAAGTACGACTTTAGATTTTGAACAGTGTGGCCCGACTTTTACACAAAATGCTCAAATATCTGGGGAAAACGAATTCATACAATGGTTCTGTGTTCTATTTTACACAACACAAAAACAAATTTTATAGAATTTAGTTAGTTTGTCGCCACCTCTTCACCGCTAAGTGGTGCCAGCTCGTTTTCTATTTCGGCGAACGCGAATAGTCGAACTAGTCGAACTTTTGCTGAAACTTTGCTTTCAAAGGTTGAAAACGTCGAACATGGTCAAGCTCGAACTTTGGCTGGTCCGCGACATCCCTGGTCATGGTAATCCATCAAAGACCTGTCAGTGAGAAATTATTTTAGATGAAACATCCTGTCCGTTATCCATGCTTCGGTGGCCTCCTCTGAGGGACCATCTGTCCGGATGCGTAAGCTACCGCATCCTATTCTACGCGTCAGTGCAGTCATTTTTCTCTTGAAATAATTTGCAATCATAATTACGTGTCTGGGAATATTATATATAAGTGACAAGTCCGCTCGTGGTGGCAGTCATCGCATCATTTTTTTGCGCACGCCTTCGCCACCTCGACATGACGACTTCAGCTGTCAAATCCACCGTTTTGTGGCTTTTCGTCTTTGGTGAGCATCCGCATCTTGTTTGTAGTTATACCATTTACTATCTATAAAACAGGTCGTGTTTATGGCGTGACATGAATGGCGTGCGTTTAGCAATGAAACAGCAGTGAGCAGGTGCACTTGCCGATAAAAAAAAACAAAAACAAAAAAAACTGGTCTTTACCGCGCGTCAGTGCCAATCATCATCCCACCCACTTCCCCTCTCCTAACAACTTGCATCAATCCGCCAATCTAGGGTCAAATCAGTATCATTACTTGAATCATATGGTGGATTTCACCGGAAAAAGTACAAAAAGAATGGGTGGTATGCAAAACAAGAAAGAAAAAGAAAAGTAGACCGTGGTAATTACTATTTTCAGTATATGTCAGGTGCTTGGTATTTTTGTTATAACATATCGCGAACATTTTATTTGTGTACATTTTTTGTTTAATTAGCTGTTTTCTTCTAAAAGTGTCCTGCTTCTTTGCTTTATATATTCTCCAGGTTGTACTCTTATCTCGTGTAATGCCCGCCTTCGAGGTTTAATAGGTGATAAAGGATAAATAAAAAGTACTTTTATTCACCAATCTGGTTAACCTTGGCATGCCGCCATGGTCTGGCGTTCGAACGCCGAACGCCAAACCCTTCACGAGGAGCAGACGACGCTCTTGTTTGCTACTGGAGGGAGACAGGGCCCAGAGGCAAAGGCAGATAGCCTTTGTGTGTACCCACTAATCCTTCCAATCAGAGCTGGGCTCACTGACGTCATCGCATGCTCTCCTTGCCTCCTTTCCCTCAGCTTCTCTCCGCATAAGTCAGGGGTGGCCAGACGGACATATCAGAAAGCAACTTTAACTGAAGAACCGCAAAAAAAGAGACTTGGCATTAAAAAAAAAATAATTTCATGTGTCTCCAACTGGTGGCCACAGTTAATCTTACTCATAATGAGGTTCCTCATTATGTCAATGACTTTGATGCCATTTATCCGATTGGTTCAATGTGCGCAAGGTAACACAATGTTGCCAAAATGCCAGCCATTATTTTTTTATTATATAGCTTCCCTTTCGCTTTAGCGGGAGGTGAAAAAGGGGGAGGGGATCGCTTAGTAGGTAGCCGCATGCTGCTCGCGAGCCGCAGTTTGGCCACATTTGTTTATGAGTAAATGAACGCTGATGCTATTTCTTGCTTTCCCGTCCTCGCGTGTGCCATGCTGCAGTTCTCTGGCACATGATGATCACCTCGAGCTGCAAGAGCCTTTCCGAAGCTGACGAGGGCCGAGAAGACGAGAGTCTCTTCGAGCTGTTCAGCAAAGTCGTATTCGCATTCTTCTCGAGCTTGAATGTCTTCATGACGAGAATTCAGCAAGCCATCAGCGGTACTCCTGGGGTGCGTTGAGCCAAGACGAAGCACGCGCGCGGCGATACAGCCACCGACTCCCCACTGACGTTTTCAATAAAAACAATACAAGTGATTCGCAACGATGTATTAAATAAAATCTTTTATAAAAACAAAACAAAAGGTCTCCTTGGCCTGTACCGGATAAAGGCTAGATCGTAGACTACCTTTATGTACGCAGTTCTGTCAAACCGCGGTCAGGCTGCCAATACATCCCATAAAAGGCAGTCTCTAGACGCTGTTCGAGGCCTGTTTCTTCTTTCAATATTTTTTCATAAAATAATAATAATAATAATATTAATAATAATAATCCTTTATCATCTTTGAAAAATACATAATGAAGAGTGTTGGGTTTCGCATTGGTCATACATAATACCGCGTGCAGAGATGTTCGAAGCAGACGTATGTGTGAACCAAATGGGCTTCGAACATGGCTTGACACGTGTCAGCAGCTAACTCGGTCGTCATGTCTGCAACGAACTGTCTACAGCCTTTTTTGCGGGATGTACGAGTAGTGAGACTGCGACTTAATTAACATAATTTACTCGTGTGAGTATAGCCGAGCGGCAATCTCGTACACGTGAAGTATAATCGTCGCTCGCCGCTGACGCTCGTCGTTGTTGCCGTCGCTCGTCTTCGCTCGCTAAATCGCTTGCATGCAATTCAGCCTTAAATAAATAAAAAAGATAATAGCAGATTAAAGTCACATTTATTACATCGAAATAAAAGAAATGCTATCGATCACCGAACTCAATTACAACTTCTAGCAGAAATAATAAAACGGAAAGAGGACGAGACACAGCTCGTACTGTAAACTAATAAATAAAGTTTCACATGCCATGTTTTGTGAACATTGTATTGCGATTGCTAAATTATTTTAAGCCCTATAATACAATTATATAACGTTATATTATTATAAGGTCAAAAATTGTACAAAAAACACACACACACACACACACACACATGAAAAAACACTGAGTTGTTGTTAGGTGCTTCCATCGACATAGCCATGTCGATGGAAGCACCTAACCTGACCGTCGACTCGATAGAGTCATGTGCGTTACGTTCACACGCATGCGTCTGCTTGCTGCCGAGTTTTTGTGATCTCTTAGAACGAGAGAGCACGCCGGCACGCTGGCGCCCTCTGTGAGGTGACCCTGGAACTGCATTTCACCAGAGCGAAGGTTTTACGATATTTGCGAGATGAAATGTACATACTGTCTATGAAATAGGAGCGGCCAACCGCCGCAGATTGCAGCGACTGGCTGCTTGAAGTGCCTTGCAGGGAAGTGAACGCTCCAGATATTTTAGGTTGGGCAATATCGCCGTGTTGGCCAAAGTTTTAGCATAATATCCTATATTTATTTTAGCTTTTTAGAGCTTTTTCTACACGTGTACAACGGGAGGCGGTTTAGTTTCTCTAGTGCCGTGTTTAAATGTGATTTCAGTCATCTCCAGAATGGCAACCAGCAAATACAGCGCAGACGTGCGCTCAAAGGAAATGGGATTTAATTATTCCGAACTGCCAAAGAAGTTTAGTCAGCTGCACAAAATGGAATGACGTTAACTTCGCGGAATTACGAGCAATTGGATCATTTCAATCTCGGTGGGTCACTCAAAGTTTAGTTTTATTATTATTTATTTTTATTAAAAAAGAAAACACACACACAACACATGAGGTGACATACCGAATATTTCATACTGTTGTTTGAAGCTAGCGTTCCCGGCTAATGGTGCTCAATCAACTACATGTCAAGAGACAGATCCTTTCAAATGAAAAATGAATAATGCAGATTATGCATTATTCATTTTTCATTTGAAATGCAGAAACAAGCATTCTGTTCAACATAACATAATCAACATAAGCCCGAGGGACCACCTGTCCAGACGCGTAAGCCATACTGCTTCCTTGTTGACGCGCCAATGCAGCGGTTTTTTTGTTTTGTTTTTTGATCCGGTATAGAGAGAGAGAAAGAGAGAACATGTTTAATATGCATGACAGTTAGGGTTCTCGTCTATGAGTTGTGTGATTTGAGACGAGGAGGTGGGGGCGGGGGGTAGGGGGGGTAGGTGTGGACGACCGTGGTGGTTGCAGTTAGGGTCGTGTGTTACAAAATCATGTCATGGTTAAAGCATTTGCATCTGTTGTGGCGCTCGCCATCGCCACCGACATGACGACTTCAGCGATTCAATGCTGCGTCGTGGCGTTTCATCTTCGGTGAGTAATTACACCCTGTTTGAGGTTACCGTGCCAGATATCTGCATCAAGCGTTGGCGCATTTCGAGGTTTCGCCTTGACGGTGGCGCGTTTTGGGCAGTTGTCATATTTATTGAGCAGTAAAGGCAATTTTGAATGGAAATGTTTAAATTGAGGTAGCGAGTTTTCATTGCCACATTGTCGTTGTCAATAGAAACCGTCCTAAACTTTCCCTCACTTACAGAAATAAGCTTCTGTCTACGGTGCAGATAAAGGCTTAGCTTAGTAGAACGTGCTTGTTTCTCTAGCAGTACACTCTAAAAGGAAAGGGTGTATTCTTGCACCCTTAGTCCCATATAATACACCCCAAAAACTTCAGTTCGACGTACAGCGCACTGACGTCGATCTGGCGGTACTAACTTTCATGAGAGGGTTGACAGCCGCGTGGTTTTTAAAATAGCTAATGTACGTGTTACTGACTACAAACCAAAAATTTTTTTTGATCTATTGCAAAATCTTAGTGTTTTCTTTCCGTGGTCTTCGATACATACTTTAGCTATTTAATAAGTTATACCGCACCGTTATCAAGCCCCTCGTTAACTTTGGGGCCGTCTGTTCGGCTATAGTGCGCTGTACGTCGTTTTGGGGTGCATTATATGGGACAAAAGGGTGTAAAGTGATACCCCTTTTTTTAAAGTGTACTCGTTTACGGAAGACCTTTTTTAGGTCACGCGCTCGCACTCGTACCTTTGCCAGCGGCTGCTGCTGTTTGAGAGATCAGTATAAGTATGGTTGCCTAGAAAAGGAGGCGCCATCGGAAAGGGAGTATAACCAGTATGCCAGAAGCAGCGCCACCTTATGCTAAAAGGTGCCAACAAAAATACGCAGATTGAGTATTTTATCCTGCTCTGTAAAAGTATTAATCAGGCGCCAATGGGAACACAACCCCTTATATATATATATATATTCCAAAAAATTGGCTGGTCTTTGCCGCTGTGACGCTGTTGCCAGCTTACAGATGATGGTACCACGCTGATGGGGACACATGGGACAAGACGCCTGGGACTGTTCCGCGCCACAGGGAGAAGCGACCGATCACCACAACGCCGCTTCTAGCCTGGCATACTGTTTATGAGAGGGAGAGAGAGATAGAAAGCATATGTAAACGAGCGCTCAAACTATTTCTTTCCTGCTCTCACATACGTTCTCGTTGCAGCTCTTTTTGCAAATGGTGGTGGCCTCGAGATGCAAGAGCTTTTCCGAAGCTGTAGAGGGCCGGGAAGACCAGAGCCTCTTTGAAGTCTTCAGCGAATTTGTGAGGGAATTCTTCAACATCGTCAATATCTTGATATCGAAAATCCAGCGAGTCGTCAGTGGTACCGTCCCGAAACACTGAGTCAAGATGAAGCTTGCGGTGATGGCTGCCAAGACGTGTTCGTTGAAATCATTAAATCTTTCGTCACGTGTTCTATATGTAAGATTATAGGAAAAAGCAACAAATAACTATTTGACTGCAATGTTTTCTCTACTTTCCAATTTCCATTAGTGCTTGTATTTTTGTGAATATTACGGGATGAGCATCGTACCAGCGTGCGGTCGTGTATATCAGTACTGCGTGATGCACGTTAAAGACCCCGGGCTGTAGGTTGTACTGCACCGGTTAAATTTCTCATCTCCAGCTGAGACACCAGACGTCCATTGAGGCTGACTAACTTCCGGCTCTACAAAACTACACGCAAAAAATTGCAGTTAATTACCTTATGTCCTCGTTTTTTTTGGCACCTTTCACGTTAAGACCTTGCACAACGCTAAGTATTATCATCGTAGACGAGATTGGAAGCACCCAGTTTCAAGAACAGGCATTATGAAAGATCAACAAAAAATTGGCAGCGACATTTATCTGAAATATCCTATAATGCATAGAAGAGAGTATTCGAGGAACGATTTTTAAAATTTGTTTAGAAGATATTAAACTAATTACGGCGAGTGAGGAAGAACTTATATTTTAACGAGAAACGTTCTTAGGCTAGGTTTTCAGATTAAGTAAAGCCATAAAAAGCGTAACCGCGAGTTAGTGGAGCTAGCACAATTAAATCCACAAAATATAATTAACACTAACTCTAACTAACTAACTCTAACTCTGACCAACTCTAACAATAACCCTAACTCTAACTTTAACACTAACTCACAGCTAACTCCACTAAACACATGGATTAATGCTAGTGGTTTAGCACCACTAGCGCTAAACCAAGAATGTTTCACGTAGCAACACAATTGCAGGGCAATTCGCGGTACATTTTAGAGCGCAGCTCTTAGGCGGCCGTTTCCGGCTTGAGCGGTGTCGCCGTCGCCGTCGGTGTAACCGCGAGTTGTATTATGGAACGTTTCCCATAATGACGTCACACGTGACGTCACGTGTGACGTCACGAGGGTCACTAGGGTCACGAGCGACGTCATGAAGGTCACGACAAAGGTCACTACCTTCACAGCAGACTTGTACACGTTACTGAAAAAAAGTAACCGATTACAATTACAATTACTACAGTCAAAAAAGTAACCGATTACCGTTACTGATTACTGCCTCCCAGAAGTAATTGAACAATTACTGCAAAGTAATTGATTACTTTTCACGTTACTTTCACGTTACTTTTTATTGCGATGACAGAAATACACAACTGTAAAATCTTGCGTACACAATTTTGTTCGTTTATTGTTCCCTTTTTTGTTTTCAGAACTTATCAAGTTTTAGCAGGAGCTGCCTCTCAAAGTTTTCGTCAGTCATCTTTCCGCGTTTTCTTGTGAAGACGTCCGCCGCGACGCTGAAAACCCTCTCGACGGACGCACTTGACGATCCTAGTTTTATTTTTTTTAGATGTTAAAAAAAATGTCAATCATTTTTGCTACATGGCTGAGTGACTATGCTGATTTTTGTGAGAAAAAAAATTGTGGGATGAAAAATGTAATTGGTAATTGTGTAATTGATTTTGTAATTGATTACAGAAAAAAAGTAATTGAATTACTCCGAGCGTTACAGCTTGACAAATGTAATTGAAGCGTTACAAAATTACATTTAACTGTAATTGATTACAAGTAATCAATTACTTGTAACGCGTTACGTACAAGTCTGCTTCACAGTGACCTTCACAAAGCCTTCACGAGTGACATCACGAGGGTCACAAGTTACGTCACTAGGGTAGCGAGTGACGTGACAGTGGAGGAGGGAGGGGGAGGAGGAATGGAGGAGGAGGGGAGGCGAATTAGAGGAGGAGGAGGGAGGAGGAGGAGGAGGACGCAATCTGTGTTGTGACATTAAGCAATGCAAAACGTCACGCTTGCATTGCTTTATGTCACAACTCAGATTGCGTTTTTTGGTCAACATATGTTTCGGAAGCGTCATTCGCTGAGTTGCCTCCGTAAGTTGCGGTGATTGGCTCTCCGAGCGTTGCGGGGGAAAGTAGACCCGCAAGCTTTTCTTTAGAGTGTAGATGAGAAAAGTGTCCAATGCAGTACAGCGCATCACGCAGTAGTGATACAACACCCCACGCCGGTACGATGCCCATCCAGATCGTCAACATGCATGACACGCACAATGTAATAAACAAAAATTCAAATAAAAAAGCTTTCAGCCATTCCACTCTGGTGAAGAAGGAAGACCAGCGAAGCTGTACTATGATGGGAATGAAGTAATGGCCGGCCGAAAATCGGCAAGACAGAGTGGAAAGGCTAGAAAGATTGCGCCATCTATGAGCGACGGCGGCAACCAGACAATCGGCAAGCCGCTGCCGCCGCCGCTTTTAGGTGACGGTAGGAGTTTCGTGTCATCATTTGTTTGCTGACGGACACGATACTGGGGAAACTAACCATCAACAACCTCCGCTGTAAAAAAAAAAATAAAAAAAAAAAAACGAAACACGAAAAACATGCTTTTGCCGTTGCAGTATCTGAAAAAAAAATTTTTTTTTTGTGTGCGTTTAAGTTTCCTGAACTGTTCTTGTGATGGCAAAACAGTCCAATGTTGAACGTGCTCGACCTAAATATTATATATATTGCCACACTTAATTTAGTTGGATGACGACGATACAATTGTGTGGTTCCTTTTTTATTTCATGTAACCTTCTGCTATAACTGCCGCAGGAGACGGCGGCCTCGGTGTAGGAAGCATTTCAGCCAATTAAAGTAGCTCTCAAACTAAAATGCACTCATGTTATTGGGCTGCAAAGCTTTCTTACATCATCGGCTACACGAAAGTGGTCGTGCACCAGACAGATACAAGTTACTAGAAAAAAGTAATTAAGTTACTGAGTCTTCGCCTGAAAAGTAAGTTGAGAGGTAAGAATCACGAAAATGAAAAGTAATTGAGGAAATTACTAACTACCGTAAAAGAGTAGCGAACTATTTTTGAAGTTACTTTTATATTTATTTATGGTAACACGAAAATACATAGGTTTTTGATCCGTTGGCTAAATTCGGCTAGCCAAATGTAAGCGGCTTGTGTTTTCACAGAAAGTTGAATAGCTGGTTCTGCTTCTGCGTGCCTAGTTTTTCTGTTTTCTTGTTAATGATGTACTGCTGGTTTATCATTTCTACTTTGAGGTTTAGCGCTGCCTCAGCTTGATCTTGCAGACTGCTTGCTTGTTTAGTGGTGCGTAAAGTTCGTCTTAAAACTTAAAAAAAGTACTTGAAGTACAAGGTAAATTAGAGATTATGTACTTCAAGTAAACAAATTAAGTACACCAGCCGCAATGTACTTGAAGTAATCTACTATAAATGCGATGTACTTTCAAAGTAAAGTACAAGTACTTTTCAACACAATATTTATTGATGCCCTTCCATCCCTTATAGTGTTTTTTAACTGCTATGCATTGCTCCAAGGGGTAATCGGAGGTGCATCGTCTTTTTTTTTTTTCATAAATGTCGGCAAATATTGGAAAAAGTCAAGTAGCCGGAGTTGTTTTAGTCTCGCTGACGAACAATTTAACAAAATCAACATATCAGCCATTTTTTTTTTTGTATCGGTCTTATAGACGCTTTACACACGCGCCAAATTACAGCCGCCATGGCTGACCTTCTCTTGTCTTACCGACATGCGGAGCAACTGAAACCGTAGCCGACGATCCTCTACAAAGGCCGATGCTTTAGAAAAAGACACAGTTGAATCTAAAATATCAATAACCTGCCCTGCTGTGGTTATGATGAAGTGAAGTAAATGTAATAAGAAGAAACAAAAACTAAAGGTCAGTTATGGCGGCGTCCATGCACAGCTGCTGCAAAGCGTCTATAGCCGCCATTGCTTCACTCAGAGAAATGACGAGATTACGTTTCGAAAGACGACAACGCGTTTTCATATAACGATGATTTTTTTTTTCACATGATTTTTTTTTGTTTCTAAATTTGGGGAATGTACTTTGAAGTCGGGAGTTGTACTTTCCTCGGAAATTACCAGAACAAATGATTTGGTAATGTACAATTACATGCTCAGAGAACATAGTTTATGTAAAGTAAAACTTTTCTAAGCCTACTTGAAGTAGTACTTTAAGTACCATGTACTTAAAATACTTCCCAACACTGCTCCTTTATTACTTTTATGTAACAACGTTGTGGGAATTACTATAGTCTCTCGAACGATCTTCAAATCTTGGAAGACCTGCATATTCTGAGTTTTGAGAGGAAAGGGATCCTTCAAGTACAGCACAAATTACGGGAGCCCCAGATGAGCTTCCGAGCGGGTGCTGCATTTTGTTGCCTCCTCTGAGTGAGGCTGCAGTGTTTTACACCTCCTGTGGTGGACGAGAGGTCCTACGCTGAGGAGAGGCGGGGACCAACCCTTTCTTCAAATGCGTCAAGTATCCTTGAGCTTCGAGACACAAAAGAACGCCAGTCTTCGGGGCTAATCCCGCAGGCGTTACTTGCGACGTGCCTGTCCGCCCCCCCCCCCCCCCCCCCCCGCCTCGTAGCAAGGTCGTTGCAGTAGGGACCTCATGAATAGTTTAGAGAATTTGGAACCCTCCAAACCGCCCCCCTCCCCTCCCCCCCCCCCCCCCCCCACCCTTGCCGACACCGCATGCTTCCCCCTCTTTGCAAATATCAGCTGATCTTCAAACATCGTATCTCTTTTTTTCGCAGCCATGTCTGGTGATAAGCAAACCTACCACTAAATTTCGAAAGTAATTTGTAACTTGAGTGGCAGTTACCAGAAAAAGTAATTAAACTACTAATTACCGAAATCAAAATGCAATTGAAAGTTACTAAACTAACCAGAAAAGTAGTTAAACTACAGTAACTTGAGTAAAGTAGTTGAACTAAGTACAAGTCTGCCGTGGACGTTGTAGCAATAATATCATTTACCAAAAAATCTTCCAAACATCTTTGCAAAGTAGTTTAGGAGAGCTCCGGCATTTTCCCGTAGCTCATTTGTAGGGTTCCGTGTTTTCGGGGTTTATTTATTTATTTATTTTTTGAATTCGGGGGTGTTTGATCGTTTTTTTTTTCTTCTTCCCAACTAATTTTTTTTTATCAGTTTTCGGTCTTGGGTAAAACATTAAAGTTACCATAACCCAAATACGTGAAAACCGTACCCGTACCGTCAAGAAAATTAAACTGAATAAGATGTGGGGTTCCGGAGCAACAAGCCTTCCGGACAGTTCAATGGGGACTGACTTTGGTGTCAGTGCCAAACAAAGTCGTAGAAAATTATTTTCTTCCCTTAAAGCTAGTTTCTTTTTACAGAGAAGCTGTTAAGGGCTAGGTTCCCGAGGATCGTGTCCGGTACAAAACACTTGCCGAAAAAAAACCCTCTGGACAGCTGCCGCCATCTATAAGCGACGGCGGCAAGCACACAACCAGTATGGTTGCCACCGTCGCTGGTAGATGGCGCCAACCATTTCAGCTATTTAGAGTTCCTGTATAGGCTCTCTACAGCTATCATAGAAGAATGGATAGTTGGGCGGCGGGTTAGTGGGAATTCATCGCAGGAAACAGCGCAAAAAACAGACGGCGACAAAGAAGCACACGTAACGAGCGCAGCGCTCGTCACGCGTGTTTCTTCGCCGTCGTCTGTTTTGCGCGCTGTTTCCTACGCTCTTCTCAGTTTCGGTTTGGACTCATGATGGGTCAGCCGCGTGCCCTTTCGGGGAAAGAAGACTGGCTGCCGAAGGAGCGGCGACGTACACAGCAGCGCGAATGGGTCCGTAACCGCCGCAAAGCCGCTGTCGCCTCGACTTCCACTGCGTCGAGCGCTTCACATTTCCTTGCCAAAGAGCACATCGCGCGCTCGCCTGGAAAGTCGCCGCCGAGAACAGAACCAGCGATGTAAAGGGCGCCGGCGGGCCAACGACACGGACGACGATCGTGCCACGGAGGCCAAGCGCAAGCGCGAGGCCCGGCGACGACTGCACTTCACGCCAGCTGAACAGTTCCCGGGCGCGACGGCGATGTTCCGGAGGGAGTTCGTGGATTACCCGTTTGGCGCCACGTGCGCCGTGTGCGACCGACTCTGGATCGCCGGGGACGTATCCACGATCGGCGGCATCGGCGGCGTGTCAGACGAGAAGCAGCGGGAAGCGGGCCCGTGCGCGTTGCGGCAGTGTATCGAGTACAGCTCGGCTGGTCTTCCTTCGTCACGAGAATGGAAAGGCTGAACGTTCTTATTTTTCTTTTTATGAGAGGACTTAGATTTGGAGTTCATCTGTTTTCCTTCGATTTTCATAAAACCGGCTCGTGGGCTAACTTTTGGAGTCTATCGGTATTTACTGAAAACATGGAACCATACAATCGTGCTAAACAAGGTTTTACGAAATTCAAAATGAGACTCACCCTGTCACTCACATTAGGAAGAGGGTGATTTTGGATTTCGTGAACAAGAGATGCAAACCGAAACGCGCTCAAGTTGAAATAAGGTCGGCGTAGAGTTACGTCTAGGTGAAACTGGCAAAATGTACATCAATGTTTTTCTAAAATGCACACCAATACATACCTGGGAGTAGCTCACCAGTCAAACGCGCACTGGAGAAAGAGTCGCGGACCCGAAGAAAATTGAAGACTTCGGCTTTTGCGTGCTGCACAATTTTTTTTCGTTTATGCACTAAGCTGAAAGAAAATGTCTTATAAGCTCCTCTGCAGTCCCAGGTTTTTCGCTTAGGGCACTGCCACTCAGTAGTCTTTTTCGGTATTTTTGTGAATTCTCAACACAATCAAATAACACTTCTATGCGATTTTTTTTTTTTTTTTTGGAAATTGCAATTTTTACTGTAACCCAAATGTGAGACTACGAGCGACAATGCAAACCTCAGGCTTCTACCGAATAGTCATATTCAGGGGTATAATTGGGTTCGTATTTTATTTTTAATGCGTTCCAATTAGAAACAGATAGCCCGTGCCTGGGCTCACTTGCGTCGAACGGTGCTTTGTTGAGACGTTTCGCGTTTGACGTCCTAAGAACTGCCCCAGTTGGATGTTGAATAGACGTCGTGGAATGTCGAGGGCGTCAAGGAAAATCGCGGGACGTTAATTGTCAGGGCGGATCGTACTCGACGTTGAAAGGACTTTCCCAAGCAGTCATGGAACAGATGTCGTTCGATGTCGAAAACGTTTTGGGCGAAGCTTAGAACGTTTTCAGGTCGCTGTGGGTCTGACGTTCGGAACTCCTCATGCGAAGGTTTCTCAGACGTCGATAAAACGTCTGCCGGGGTCCCTGTCGTCGTCGATGTCTGGGACCTTGTTTTGACGTAGTATCGATGTCTTATGCTACCTGGGACGTCCTGCGGTTCCTAAGCTGTCAGATGTCAGTGACTGCTTCTCATTGGCGACCGACAGACCGGTTCTATAGAGCGTTACCAGTTTATTCGTGACCAAAATGATTGACGAACACGCAACTGGAGGATACAACGAGCGAGAATCGTTGGGAAAAACTAAACGAATGCCGAAATAAGTAATGTCCCACTATAGTTCAAGTGGCCCGATGTAACCAGAAATTAGCGAACTGCCTCGTTAACAAACAATCGAGCCTTGGTACCTCATCTTACACTGGAATTTAGTCAACGGTATATTGAATGATCCCATTTCCAGATCACCTACAAAATCGATATAAAACAATTGTCAGATAAAAAAAAAAAAAAAAAAAAAAAAAAACGGCAACCGCATTGATGAGTATTTGTAATTTTTGGAGTTATCATCAGGTGACATGTGACACCATTCGTCAACTTGCGTGTCATTCTCTCATTTGCAATTGCTTCGCTTAAACAGAAAAGCAACACAATCGCGCGGAGTTTGCGGCAAAGATCACTCTCCGACCCGAAAGCGTTTTATTCTTTCAAAAGAAGCAACAGTCAGTCCTGGACTACAGAGCAACAGAACGCACACACACACACACAGGCAAAGACTGCCCAACTCGGTTTCGGAGGTGTTTTTTTTTTCGCTGGTGGCATGGGCGGATGTGCCACGTTATACCGGCTATGTACAAAAGATGGTTCGCTGTCGCTTTGGCCGCGAAACTTCGGCCGGGATTGTCCCACCTTCGCCGGCGCCGCGCACTGTCCACGGACACCGAGATCATCATCACCATCATCATACGGAGCATCGCAGAAGCACGCACTCGCCTTTTTAAGATTCACAGCCGCACAACAAAGTGACCTCATAGTTCCCCGGGGCGACACGGCGATCTCCGCGACGATGTCGTGTGAAATAATTTCATAATGTCCTAAGCTCCAGAACCCCTGCCCAAGCTCACAGGTACTTGTCGATCGCAAAGAACGGACGGAGTTGCGAGGCTGGCTTGGAGACCATCACCGGTCAACATCTTGGTCCTGGTACTTAGATGGCCTTAAGCACAAGCCGGAGGGCAAAAGGGGGAGAGAACTGGCTTAGGCCTAACCCGCATCCTTAGGCTTAACCCGCGTTCTTAGGTGTAACCTGCGTTCTTAGGTCTAACCCGCGTTGTCAGGCCTAGACTGCATTCTTAGGCCTAACCGGGAGAACAAGCGAACTCGTACGGGAGGCACCAAGGCAGAGGAAACAGAGATGGCTGGTCGCTGGCGTCGCTACCCGGTTAGCGTGAGGGGGTCTGGGGTCATGAAGGGGTGATGAAGCACCGTTTCCCTGCGGCGGACCGCCGGCGGGGGATCGAAGAAGCACGGGAAGGGTCGCTTGGTGTCCTCCTCGTTGTCGTTGTCGTCGGTGGTCGATTCGGACGGGCGGGCCTCTCGGTTGTTCCAGCTGACCTTGGGCTCTGGGGTCACGATGATGCGGCCGAACTTTCGCATGCGGTCCAGGGCATCCTGCGGCTCGAAGACAAGATCCAGCTGGCTGCCGGCCATGCGCTTGGCGTACAGCTCGTCGAATGCCTGCGACTGCTCCGGCGTGAAGTAGTTTTTCCAGTCTCCGATGATGCCTGCGTTGACAGTGATGCGGTCTAAGCGGCAGTGATGTGGTCTAAGCGACAGTGATGTGGTCTAAGTGACAGGGCTGCCTTGGCCCACTTGCAGAGTAGCGGCTGACAACGTTGCGGACTCGTACGTTAAGACACGACCGCGAGCTACCTTGGCAACTATGTGTTCAGTCACTTGGTTGTGGTGGTAATTCGCAGTCGTATCTTGACGTAAGCACACGCAACCCAGTCAAACGCACTCAAATGTTGCTGTCTGCGTCCGTTGAAAGCACATAAACGATAGATAAAACAAGAACACAAGGTAATGCGCAGCACTAAAGCTCAGGCAAAATGGTGGAATCTTCAAAATTATGAACACACAAAAATAAATCTATTTATGTGTCTTGTCCCGTTTGAGTGTTTCTTGGTCAATGATGAAACGATGTTTTTTAGAGCGCAGTTCTTAGACGCTCATTCCCGTGTTTTGCGGCGTCGCCGTCGCCTTAACCGCGTGTGTTGCATGATGGGACGTCACAAAACTACACACCAATTAAATTCTCCGCAAAATTTAGCGAAGAAACTGATTTGGTGTGTATGTCTGCGACGTCCCATAATGCAGCACTGCGCATTCAGTTTCCCCGCTAAATTTAGGGGTAAAACTTGCGTCACATGACCTCAACACCAATTCACCGGTGAATTCAGAAACCTCACTCAAACTACACTCAAACTGAAGGGCCCCTCTACTTCCTCGAGGAAGGCGCGAAGGCCGGCGCAGGCCAATCGCGAGGACAGATCCGCCGTCGCGATTGGCCAGCGCCAGCCCTCGCGCCTTCCTCGAGGAAGTAGAGGGGCCCTTCAGTTTGAGTGTAGTTTGAGTGAGGTTTCTGAATTCGGCGGTCAGTTTCCCCGCTAAATTTAGCGGGGAAACTGAATTGGTGTTGAGGTCACGTGCCTTCAGTTTTCCAGCTAAATTTAGAGGTGAAACTGTGGGAAGATGGGAGGTTATGGGAGGAGGAGGTGGGGAGGACGAGAAGGACGAGGAGGGGCATTGAGGAGGAAAAGAGAATGAGGAGGTGAGGGTCCTCCGTACCCTCCCCTCCTCCTCCTCCTCCTTCGTACCCCCATCGTCCTCCTCTGTACCCCGGTATATCGCAAAATCAAAATACCTCAAGAGCTGCCTCTAATTTCGCATCACAGAAATTCGTAAACGTCTTTCAATTTTTTTTTCTTCCTGGTCTAACTCAGGTGATCGGTATCACATTGACATGATTTCCAGGAATTAACTGTCTTTAAACATGACCGAGTTTCTTTCTTGACTCACCTTTTCTCATGAACTTAGACTGGGTCATGTCGAAGAGGTCCGAGATGGGCAGCACCTCCCGGTTCACCATGTTGTTGTTCTTCATCTGGTCGAAGGAGCAGTGCTGCGCCACGGCCGCCAGGGCCTCGGGCCCCAGGGGCCGGCCCAGGAACTGGCTGATGCGCTGAACCATGGCGCCCAGCTCGATCTTGAGCTCCTCGAAGGACACCACCATCACACGGTCCGGCCGCTCCAGGCTAAACTTCCAGTACGGCAGAACGTGGTCGAACCACGAACCGTACACCACTGCAACAGATTTTCGGGAATGGCTCTAGTTAGCGTACGAGGCGAGTGACGAGCTTGTTCTGGAGGTCAAGGATACCGTTACAGGGCACTGTAATAGTGCTGGCAAACAATGAATAGAGGTAATGACCTTGAATGGGAACCGCATGGAAAGCTCAGGCCAACGGTTCGCTAAGAGTATTTGTGTCATCAGTGCTGAAAAAGGGGCATCAGAACTAAAGAAACTTTATGAGTGACGAAGAAACTTCATCAGGTGCTGAAGATGTTTAATTACGCTGATGTTTCATCAGAACGGAAAAGCTTCATCAGTGCTTAACACACTTCCTCAGCACATGAGAAGCTGACATTTAGCGAATCGTTAGCTTCCAAAAGTTTTTTTTTTAGCAAATTATTCTATACTTGCTTCTTTTTCGACTTCTTCCTGCCAGGTTTTACTGTGTTAAAAACAAATTTATATGGTAGGGTGGAGTGCTGATCGAGGTGCGGGTGCAGACGGTAGAAAAGCTGTTTACGCAAATGTTGGCCACTTTGGCCATGTGAAAAACGAAATCTCCTAAAGCGAAAGAACTGCGCCAATGTTTATAAACAGATGCCAACAAAGTAGCTTGTAGGTGACTACTAGTATATTTACAACCAAAACATCTCTGCCTAAACTTTCTAAAAGTGTGTCGCGATAAAAAACAAAACAAAACAAAAACATGAAAGGGCATGTAAAGAAATCGACTTGAAATAAGTGGACCGCATTATACCGGGCGCGTAAAAACTATACGTTTACTTATAAAAAAAAACAAAAAAAACACACACACACAAAAAAAAAACAACCACTCCTCAGCCGCTTCGATCAGGGATACATTTTTTCATATTAACGTAGAGCAGCAAAAAGAAGAAAAAAGAAATACTTATCATTCAGCTCACAGTGGATGGTTAGTAAAAGGAGATAAAACACTATAGTACTAGTGTTCATTCATAGTTAATCAATTAACATAGCATTAAAAACTGTAGACAATAAAAATAAAATAAAAAGTCAATGGCCTCGAATGGGAACCTATATGCATGGAAACCTCAGAGTGAGGGCCACTGTTTCGCAGAGTTTCGACGCCCCACCTTTTCGAAATTCTATGACGCAATGTCGGTGGTCGTCATTTTGTTGGGCGCGAAGCGAATATGATTGGGCCCGAGTCCTCGCCGAATGCTGACGCAACAGTCGGCCTGAATACGAGCTTTGCCGAGTTCACGCCGATCGCTTTCGGCAGCCCTCGTGTCCAATCGACGCTCAGAGTGCGCGCCCAAACAATGGTCGACTCGGATAACGGGCGCTGCAGCCACAAGATGGCGCGCATTAAAAAAAAAAAAAAAAAAGAAAAAAATTTTTGTTGCGGAGACAAATTTTTGCTGCGTGTTCTAGTCACTCGTGGCATGCACATGCTTCAAAAACTTGTCCATGTCCGTCGTCGTCCTCGTTCTTTTTTTAAATGGTTTTAAAACACTTTTGGATATATTTTGTTTTTAATTGTGCCGTTTTTGAGCTTCAAAGTGAGAACGAGTTAAAGGAATTAGCTCTGCTAGTTCTCACCGTGACCGCCCGTGTAGTGCGTGAGGAAGTCGTCCCAGGAGCCCTTGTAATTGCCGAGGAACGTGCTCATTTTGTGGTGGTGGTAGTACGAGACGGCGTTGTCCTTGGGGTTCCGCACGACGTAGATAATCTGCGTATTTTCGAAGAAATTCGAGACAGTTTAGTCAAACGTCCGCCGTATTTTTTTTTTTGGTGAAGTATACTCGAATTACACACTTCTGATCTCATACATCCGATCTCATATAGAGTAGGAGATCGGACGTATGAGATCAGAAGTGTGATGGGATGTACGAGATCAGAAGCGTGATCGGATGTATGAGATCAGAAGTGTGATCAGATGTATGAGATCAGAAGTGTGATCGGATGTATGAGATCAGAAGTGGGATCGGATGTATGAGATCAGAAGTGTGATCGAATGTACGAGATCAAAAGTGTGATCGGATGTATGAGATCAGTAGTGTGATCGGATATATGAGATCAGAAGAGATGAAAAGTATGCAAATCAACTGCACTTGATCTGCCTACATTTGATCTCGGAAATTGTGTTTGCTCATTTTGTAGGACTTGTGAATGGTGACGTCTCTAACGCAGTCGATCACACTCAAACGCCAGATGTGTGAACCAGCCTCGAGCATTTCCTGTCACGACCCATTTCAAAGCCGCGTTCCGAGTCTCACCTTGCACTTGGCCTGCTGTAGCTGCTTGGGGATGAGTTTGAGCGGCAGGTGGGTGGCGAGCAGCCTCGGGGAGCGCGTCTTCCGCAGGTGCCACAGGTGGCCGACAGGGGGCCCCACCTCCAGGTGTTGCACCCGGTACACGAGCAGCTTGTTCTTCACCCGGTCCGGGTCGCCGCCGTTCATGATCAGCGACACGATCTCCTCCATCCAGGTCGTGCCTGCAGGGCCCAATCGGGAAAAGACGGTTAGAACGTCCTAATCGGCAGTTCATTTATGAAAATGAACACTTTAAAAAAGTCTGTAGATTATGTACTTCGTTAGGCACGGTCTGGTATTCGTTACTCAAAAAAAAAAAAAAGAAAAGTAATCAATTCCAACAACGATTCCTTTTGCTTCAAATGAAGTAACTTAGATTACAATTGATGCAAAAAGTAATCGGCCGTTACTTGAAAAACTAAGCGCTATACTGCTCCGATTACTTCGGATTATGAAAACGATAGAGTTTTCTGTAGGTTTGAAAACAGGCCTACCGCACCGTCCATTATTGGACTACAATAGCCGATTTATGACTCACTCATCTTCTTCATCCACCAATCTTGGTAGAACATTCTCCTGTCGGAGATATGATTCGAGGATTCCTCGCTAGGAAACTTGTTTCCCATGGAATCAATCAATCAATCATAAAATGAGTCGGTATTGTGGCACTGATGTTTCACTAAACTCAGCCTCACATCGCAGACTGTTTTATTATTATTATTATTACAGCGACTGTAGCTCTCCCGGGTGTTTTTAAGGGAAGTACAGACGCTTCCGATTTCTTCGAGTGTGTAGAATACGAACACGACCAAATTAAAGCAAACAACCGAAGGGCAGCGAACGACGGGGCTCCAAGTAGGACTAGATCTGCGTATAGTATACCATGTATTTTTGGCGCAAAATAAAACATTATTATTATTATTATTATTATTATTACTATATTAGAGCGCCGGAACAATGGGCGTGACGTGTCCTCGACTCCTCGCTCACTGTTGACGCTAGCGCGTTACAGACAACGCGTAACTTTCACTTTTCCTCGGATACGTAGTAACGCGCTCGTTGCGCTTTCAAAAGAGTAACGGGTAACGCACTTACATTACTTGCTTTGAGTAACGAGTGACGTAGTTACGTTACTCGTTAAGTCTTTTTTCCCAAAACTTAAAAAAAAGTAATTTTTTTTTTTTGTATATTGCATATCTTTCAAATGTTGCCTCTTTTCCCTACGCAAACACTTTCATTTTAGCAAAACCTCAAGGCCCGTGCCCTTTGGCCCAGTCGAATCAGTGAAAGGTTTTACTGTGATAAATAAAACGTAACGTCCGTTACTTTGTATCCGTAACGGTAACGCGTTCCTTTTATTAGAGAGTTTTAGTAGATCGTTCCGATACCTCCGATAGCCCCGATAACGGTACTATGCATGCGCAAGGGAGGCGGTGGCGAAGTATCGGGATATCGTTATCGGAGTCATGGGAACGATCTACTAAAACTCTCTATTAGGGATTTACGGAACCGTTTTTGCACATCCAATACGGTATACGATGGGCCCTCCAGTACGAACGGCGCGTGTGCGAGTCTTCTGCGGTATAGCGCATGCGCAGTTTGCATACCGGAGGGCCTATCGTATACCTTATCGGATGTGCAAAAACAGTTCTCTAAAACTCTCTATTAGATCGTTCCGATGGCTACGATTACGATATATTCGTTACTACTCTGTCGCCTTTGCGCATGCGTCGTATCGTTATCGGAGGTATATCTAAGGTATCGGAACGATCTACTAAAACTCTCTATTTGCAGGCAACGAGTAACACATTTCGTAACGCGCCTACAACACTGCGCGACATGAGCATGACGGGAGCACTACAAAAAACGTCATGCTGAGCGTCTACATGGCAGGCGCGTTCTCGTTACTGGTTACGGAATGATGTACTATAGGTGGCGCTTGAGCGACGAACCACGGTCCGCGTTTTTTTAGTCTGTCAAATATTATAGTGTTGTCTCAGTGCATGCCGAACTTAATCTACACGACTGCGCATGCTGTCGCCGTGGTTCATGGTACTGCCGATAAACGTAGAGACGCTCCTCGCTTTGGTTCGATTGATTTCAAAGAAAAAAAGAATATTTCCAGACATGTTTTATATTTTTGCCGCGCTATACATGCATGGTGTAAGTTATACGTAATACTTATTCAACTTGCGCATCAAGTTCGTTCAACTCGTTTTTAATCATGATCGGGCGCGGTGTCGCGCTCACTAAAACGACGGAGCAAATAGGATGTGGTCACGGGCTTTACCAATCTAGCGCGTACATCCACTCTTTCTTACAACTATTCCAAAGAAGTTAGAGTCGCGACGAAGGCGACGAGAGCAGGCAGTATAGCGGTACTTCGCCGATATCATTTCTCGAGCGCAAATGATTCGAGAATCGTTTCGTGTATATGCTGGGCCCTTCCGCAGAAACCTCGATATATCAAATTTCGCAACCCGTACACGTTAACAAAAAGAAAAATGAAAAACTGAAGAAAAGAAACAGTCATGTACAGGAATAGCTTTGATATCTTGTGATCGGTTCGTCGCGACATTTCGATCTGACTGGAACCCTTTGGTTTGATTGTTCTGTAATCTTATTGAATTTTTAACAACTTCTAAAAAGATTTATTGTTTATTGAACGTCTCTAAGGTAGGAACAAAATGTTCCGGCGTACATTTCTTTCTTTCTTTATTATTAATTTTTTTTGGTGGGTAGTTTTGGCCAAGACCACGCCCAAGGTTTTGGAAACAAAAATAATAGTGCGGCCCAATTCAATTTTACTTCTGGGCGGCGCGAGGTTGGCCTTGCTCGCCGCACGCGATGTATAATTTATTTTATTTATTATTTTTTTATTTGTCTGCGAAGTCGATTCGACGACAGCTGGGTGAAGAAGACTGGTCTAAAACGTTTTCCGTAAAAGCTCCGCGATCCGCTCTGCTCCGGTTCGCCTCTAAAGACGGAGGGGAGACCCGTGGGAGCAAGAATCGTGCTACGTCGCGTCGCAGAGCGAAGCATCGCGCGCGCGGGAAATCGCGGGGCAGGACACTCGCAGTCCTGCATCACGCCGCGTCGGCATGGATGGATGGATGAATATTGGCTGTAACCTTTATATCGGGTGGTAGCTAGCGCCACCTAGCCTAGACCCTTTTCGAAATTCTGTGCCTTCTGGTGGTTCAAAAAGCAGGTTCACTGTCGACCACCTAATGGCGGTCGCGAAACTGCATTTCATTTGGGCGTCGTCGCTTTCGCACGTCAATGGCAGATTTTGAATTGGTTTTTCGATCGGCTCATAATTATTTCTTGATTTGTTTCAGTTCCGACGGCGGAAATATTAGAACTGACCAGTACAAAAAGGGCGGCCATTAAACCCCTCGATTAAATTTCTGCCATCAAAAAACTTTAGAGCGACATTTGTGCCAAGAGATATTGACTGCGGCCCATCCTCCCAAATAATGTGTACGTGACTGTTGTATCTAATTCGCGCGCCGTGTTGTGCTGACGTCTCGAACGTACAAGACTCTCCGCTTGGCGGCACCTTCAATTTCTTCCTTCGTCAGCCTCAAGCCCGCCATTAGCCTGGCACAGAAGGCACTGAGATGATGATAGTGATCAAAGTCGCCACACTGAATTTTGAAAGGGGTCTTTGGAATTACGTCTGGATAGAGTGTGAACTGGAGGACTTAATACCTAGCCAAGCACAAAGCATAATAAAGCACGAATTATAAAATATAACCTCGCAGAAAAACTCGTACGAGCTTTGTTATAAATATGTCGCGTTTGATTAGTACAAAAATAAAAGGGGATCAAACACACACACACAGCTGACATTGTTAAAAAAAAAATCCTCGTGCTAGCGCTACCGTAGAAGAGAAGGAAACAAATTGAATGGAGGGACAATCATGTAGATACATGCAACTACGAGTTGTTATATTAAACGCTCGTGATTTTTTTCGCTCGCCAAAGGAGCCAAATATATTTGTTTCAACGTTTATAGCAGCATGTTTAGAAAAATGTGCACAAAGTTTCATCGCAAGCTTTCCCACAAACACCAAACTTGGACAACCTAAAATTAAAAAAAAAAAAAAAGAAGAAAAGTGACATATGAGCAGGAATTTTTATACGCTTACATCTTACCCAATGACACAGCACAAAAGTTCCGGTCGAAACGTTTTGTTTTCTTATTGACCTTCTCTTTTGCCAAGTTCCCTTCGTAAACAGCAACGATTAACTCTCCCGAGTTGCCTGCGCGGAGAAACAAACGCGCCGCTTATAGACCTTTCCAAAAAGAGCGCTCTGGCCGCCGCCATTTTGCGAATCGAGCGACCCCTATCAGCAAGAAATTTCTGGCACCCGCCTGAGCTGTGGAAACCCGGTCAGCGTGACTCCCCACCTGCATTCTGCATTCTGAGTTCGCCGGCTTTTCTTGGAAGTTTTTACTTTATTTGCCTGTTTGGGATGCTTACCCTTTGTGTGTTAACTTCCACTGTGAGAACCAGGGAATACCAGGGCTCGTAGCCTACTCGGCCTTCGCAGGGAACGAACGAACAAAGCGGTCGTCAAGCTGCCCGCGACGCAGGCAGTTCGACGTTCTTGGAGGATTATTAATGTTGAGATAATCTCCAAAAACCCTTCCCGGCTATGTTCCGAGTCTTCGCGAAAAATAGCTGATAGGGTCGGGTTAGGGTTGTGGCGACGGAATAGACACGTTCGTTCATTTGCTTTGAAACTGTGCGAAAAAAGAGCTCTCTTCTAGATGTTCCCCAAAACACTCTGGATTCCGTCCGATTGTCGTGAAGTGACTATCGGCGATTGTCGACACTGTATATTGGACATGCTGTGTTATTTGAGACCTTTCTCAAGTCCTGTTCGGATAACGCGGCACCGTGGGGTAGGTGCAATAATCTATATGTGGTTCGATTGATGATACTCGTTGAATTTCATGTTGTGGGCGGGGAATATTCATGCAGTTCGGATATCCTGTGTTCAAATATTTTCGACGGCTATGACGGCTAAGTAAATTGACACAGTTGAGTGTACGGTGCCGTAAAAGATCAACATAAAAGGAAACAAATTTTCAAGTTGCATTTGTTCTGTCGCGCACGGACTCACCAAAACAGCTTTCATTTCTTCGTTTTTTTTTTCAAAAAAAATAGTACAATGCATTCTTAAAAACCCAGAGAAATTCTATTTGCCATAGAACACGAAATGAAAAATAGAACGCGGCAATTTAGCCTCCACCAGCGCCCGGAAGTGCGCCTACGCAGGCCTGCCACAGCCCACTGACTTGAAAACCCACAGCTCAGCGCAGTCGGGCAACACTGACGTACCCTCTCAAAACCAGGGACGCCCGCTGTAAATCGCTTCGTTCGAGACTGCCGCTGGAAAGGGCGTCCGCCCCCATCATGGAACACGCGCGCATAATCTGCGGAGACTGCGGCCTCTCGACACAGGTGCGCGCTGTTGTACGCGTATACGGCTCAGCGTCCCAACGGCTCTCCATGGTGACACGTGGCAATCCGCTCGCACATACGACCACGGACGCCGCGACATGCTTCCATGTATACACCGGCCGTGATTCGCTTCCGGCGTTGGAGGCACCGTAAACCAGACGAGGACGCGAGCGCGCGGTAGATGGCGGCTCAGCGACAGGTCGATGCACGATCGCAAACAAACGACGTCGTTGTCGTTGTCGTGTCAGGACGACCCCAAAAAAAGAACAAACAAAAAACAACGCTTTTTTAGCATTAACTCCTTCGTCAACGTCGCATCGCGTCGATGCGTATTATGCACGTGGTGGTCTCGGTACGCGCTAAAAGAAAAAAAAAAAAAGGGTCTGTCGGTTCGCTTTCCTGCAGAATATTGAGACAGCCAATTAGGACGAACAACGCAAGGATTCCATGTACGAAAGCAAACAAACGACGCACTGTTTGTTATACCAGGCCAAACGGAAAAGCGACCACATCGCTTTTGCCACGAACCCCTAGGTCACAGTCGCATCTATGGTCGATGCGCATCATATATGAAGCGCATCGACTCGCGTGCATATATGCGCGTGAGTTTTTTTCGATGCACAGAATAACAAATGTCTCTGAGTTGACTTTATCCTATAGGGATCCGGTGTTATTGGAAACAGTAAGGGAGTGGAACGTCAAGCTCATTGGCTGCATTGTTTTTTATGAATGGTACAGTAGCGATTCAAAGGGAAGCAATCACACGCGCTCAGTTTTTCTGCTTTTTCCGAGTCGCACAGTCGTCATATCTGGATTTGCTGCGCGCTATGGTCGCATCCATGTGTCTGCGGCTTTTGTCCCTGAGCACGTCGTATCTTTAGGGGTCTGATTATTTTGAGCTTCGTTGTTCGCAGTGATTGGTTGGTGTTGACTGTCGTTCGCAGTGACTGGTAGGGGTTGACTGTCGTTCGCACTGATTGGCTTATTACGCTCGTGCCTCTTACTTTGTAAATAAATGCATTTTCGGTTATTGTCTTTTTGGCGCTGTTCTTAGTCTTAATTGTAAGTCGTGAACCAATTAGCAAATACTTTACTAGAAGGATACACCACTTATCTGCGTCAGAGGGCGCGCCACAGCACCAAATCCTCCATGGCGGTGCATGGCGTGGAGAGAAAGCATCCGAGAGAACGTACGCGCGCATTGCGTTGCCCCAAGCTGCCCACGCTCTCGCGCTACGCCGAGGGAGAGGGCTGCAGGCGACCGATCGAGATACCAGATTCGCCAAGACAACCGAGACGGCCGTCTCTGCCGTATCGAAGGCTGTCCACGACTAAAGATGGCGGGAGCCAGCCCTCCCACCCCTCTCGATTCAAAGCGGAAAGGCCGGCCCGCGTCCAGCCATTCCAACAACGCAAAAGCTGTCGGCTCCAAGGCCACTGGATTTTCGCGGAGTAAAAGCTCGTTCACAAAGTGGCGACTGCTTACAACCAAGTGCGTTACGACCTCCTGTGATCTCTTACGACGAGAGAACACACTGGCGCCATCTAGAGTTCCTGCAGCGTAGGCAGCTATATAGCCATCTATCGTGTAGCCGTGGAACACTTGTGATTCGCGAATAGATCCCTTTTTTTTTTTTACTTTTCGCACACCATTCTTTCATTGCTGGTTCGAAAAGCTTTTGACAATGTTATTAAGGGCAACTTCTCATAGATAGTACGCACATTAGATTCCGCAAATACCGCAAAACCTTCGCTCTATTGATATGCAGTTTCAGGACAACATTAATAGATGGCGCCAGCGTGCAAGTTTGTTTTCTCGCCGTAGGATATCGGAACAGGTTCTAATGCACTCGGTGATAAGCAGCAGGTCTGTAAATCCAGCCAAAGGCCCGTTTACAGACTTGCGTTTGCGACTGACCGACTGAGACAAGACTGATTTTTAAGCCTCTTAGCACGACTTACGACCGGAGGCGCAGCAATTTAGCCGGTTGTAAGCCGTCACAAATGGCTTAAAAACCGGTCTTGTCGGTTGGAGTCAAGCCCAAGTGTGCGACCAGTTCGCGCTTTCCACTCTTCCCTCGCTTTCTCCTTTTCCCAACTTCTACTCTGTCCACCGTTGCCTGTTTCCCCCTCCCCCATGGTGAGGAGGACCTTCTGCCTTGCAGGATCTCGAGTCTGGTCGTCGGCCTTTAAGTCGACGTAAAGCATTTGCAAATACTGTGCCGGCTGTCGCGAGCTTGGCTCAGCGACGTTGGGACTCTGCGACCTCGAACATCGAGCCCACTGTTCTTTTCACGTGTTGCCCGCCTGGCAAGTTCCGGTACGACGGCGTGCTTTTTCGTAAACAGGGAGAAATCCATTGTCACGAACGCCAACGAACCATGTCGATCGAGACCGGAGCGGACATTACAATTAAAGCCCCCTCGAAACGCTGACGCTTCTATGATGATGCAGCGTGGCCAGAGTGACTCTTGAACGCTTTTGATTTGTCGCGGGGATCTGCTTCCAAATGCGTATCTCAAAGAATTTTTTTTTTAATCTTAGTTTTGCGGTGTGACACATGTGAATAGCTGCAACGTCGCCCAGGCTTTTTTTTTAGCCGTTTTCTTTTTGGTTGTTGCATAGGAACATACAATATGTTTTTAGGTTTAAGTTTTTTTTTCCAGAAAACTACATTTATAAAATTTCAGTACGAGAAACGCATCGCCTAAAGGCATTTTTTAAAGTTTTCATTGCACTCAACTCATTGGTTTATTCGTAAAAAATGTTTTAGGCTCGAATACCCCTCGGAAATACTTTCTACATAGGCCTCACCCCCTTACCCCCTCGTGAGACCGATCTTGCAACGTATATCCAACATGTACACGTTACTCAAATAAAGTAACTAAATACCGTTAACTCGTAAGTACGTTACTCGTTACTGCGATTTGAAAGGAACGCGTTACCTCAGTGCAAAAATAACGCGTTATTTTCTCGTTTCTCTCAATGTGTCTTATGAAACAGTAGCCGCTTCCAAGATCATGAACCATTCCACTCTGTGAAGGTGGAATGACCAGCGAAGTTGTTTTGCACACGACACAGACCCGCCCCGAGGAGCCGGAGGAAACTAGACACGCGCGACGGGACCACCATTCCGGGAGAGCGGAAGGAAAGGAAAGCAGGCACGGAAGCGCTTGGAACGACGACCAAGAGAGGGCGCTGCGACCGTAGACACGGCCGACGCCGGTGGCACGGCGGCAAATCTTTGAGAAACCTTTACTATCTACTTGAGAGTCTATTGATCTTAAAAATGGTGCCTATTAATAACTAATATACTGAATAGACTTATAGCTAAATTACCCAAGCATCAAGGAGAATGCTGGGAATGGTGTTCCACGCGCCGCACGTGCTGGCGTCTGCAGTAGTAACTGTTCTAAAGCTAAAGCCTAAAACAAACGGCACCTTGCACGCGCGTTCGTCAACTCTTTGTTTTGGTTACTTACTTCGAATCGTGCGCGTGCGGCGCGTGTGGCGGTGCGAACGTAGAGGTTTTGGTCACGCCCACGAAAAATCCAAGGAACCCTAGCCGTGCCCTAGCCATAAACAGCTTCGCTCTGATATAGGTCGTCGTTTATAATTCCTTGCCTTTTTACGGCGTTAATTCGGGTAGGACTAAACTGACATACCTCGTCCACGTCTTTTTATGATCTATCTAGCATTTTCTCTTCGTGCAAATTACAAGTCCGAGCTGGGGTGAGAACTAGACTGTGGACGCCTATTGTACACGTTGCCCTCCAGAAGTAGCGATTACCGTTGCACACTATACTTTATCAAAAAGCAACTAAAAATAGGCTGTTCCTTCCTTCTCTTAAAAAGGTAACTAGTTCGTTACTTCGTCACCAGAGAAAATAACTATACGTGGTTGCCGGTTAAGGAAAGCAAGCTCCCGTGAAGACCTTTCCACTTTAGTAGAGCAAACGCCAGAAAGGAGGTGAGTCCCTCCCCGCCTCGTCTCGCTTCTTCCCCCTTCCACCCTGTCCACCGTTGCCTGTTTCCTCCTCCCCCAGGGCGAGGAGAATCTTCTGCCTTCAAGAATCTCGTGTCTGGTCGTCGGCCTTTAACGCAAAAAGGGTCAAGGACTTTGCGGGAGGAACATGTGCTGCTATTCTTAACTTGGCAACAGGGTATAGGTAAGCGTAGCGAGTAAACGCGTTCCGTGCAAGTCTGCGCGTGTCGTATACCTGACTTTGGGTAGGTGACGATGAAGACGTCGTCGTTGCGAATCTTGAAGTCGGCCAGGCCCCTGAGGACGTGCGGGTGAAGCAGGTAGCCCTGGAGCAGGACGCCCTTGAAGCTTTGTGCGCGCGGGATGGCGGCTGCGTAGGCGGACCAGTCCGGGTCCTCGGCCACCTTGGGGTCCCTCTCGGCCGGGACCACCTGCTCGCTCTCCGGGCACTTGCCGCTCCGGCCGCCCGTCAGCAGGGCGCCCAGCGGGCTGCTGTACAGGAACTTGAGCGAGATCATGCTCAGCAGCCTGCGAGGACAACAACAAGTCAAGCCTGCTCACTTCACTGTTTAATGCAGCAGCTAATGAAGAGAGACTCTCGGGCTACATATAAAGTAAGTGTCACTGGCACAGAAAAAATAAATAAATAAAACCCATTTACAACTTCTTGTAACGCCGAATTAGAGCGCAGCTCTTGAGGAGGAAGAGGGAAGGGTACTGAGGGTTACGTGTTCTCGGGGGGGGGGGGGGGGGGGGGGGGGGGGGGGGGGTCACATAACCTCAGGGTTATGCCGACGGCGACGCCGACGCCGCTCAAGCCGGGAACGGGCGCCTAAGAGCTGCGCTCTAAAACGTTCTAACCTAATCTAACCAAACCTAACAAAACATAACCTAATCTACCATAACCTAACCTAGCCAAACGTAACTTAGCATAACCTAAGCTATCGTTACATAACCAAACCTAATATAACGTAATCTACCTTAACCTAACCGAACTCTAATAAACCTACCAAAAATACAACATGCACCCATATGGCCCATCTCATAGTGCCACAGAAAAGACCCATACGAAGATATCCAAATATCAGGTAGCTTTATCAACGAAATTATCAACTTTAAGTGGAACAAGACTATCTACCTTATCTTACACGCGCATTATGCACATAAAACAAGCAGATTATTGTCGGTGCTGCGTGCCACACCTACTTAATTAAAATATCGCTTATTAGAGAATCATTACATACAAGAGAAAGAAAACAATGCAATTTTATCTGCTCCTCCCTCCCCCCCCCCCCCTCCCCTCCCTCCCTCCCTCCCTCCCCCCCCCCCCCCCCCCCCCGCCTAGGAAACCGAGGAAACTTGTCCTAAGGGCGCCATCACAAAAGGTGAGGGGAAAATAGTAACCGGTTACGAGTAATTTTAGTACTTACAAAAACTAATCAGGTTACTCTCGCGATTACTTCTATGTCTTTGTAGTGATTTCAAACTTCCTAAAAAAAGTAATCGATAACGAGTGATTTTATTGCTTGTAATGAGTACCACAAGCCTGTCGGAATGACACAGCGTTATTCGAATTAATTGACCGGTGTGCGAACACCTCTACATAATGATTTGGCCTATAGCAATTTTGCCTCGGTTACAACCCCCTCCCCTACCCCCTTCAAATACACCAACACACTGTTCACAAAACAAGCCCGAGTTTGGCGCATGCGCAGATACCAGATGGGCAGGAGGCGAAGCTTCCGCGCATCGGGGCTTGGCGTTGTAACATCACTGCGACCGACCCCCGCGTAGATGCGGACGAACTTCCGTAAAAACGAAGGTCAGGTTGCTGGGGCAACTACAGCGGTTGTAACCGAACAAACATTGACATTGACTGATGCTCGCGATGGCCGTGTGTATATGTTTTTCAAAACAAATCGTTGCTCGTCTCGTACGGGTCGAAACGAGATATGAATGAGATCGGAATCAGAAAATACATACAGCTGTCATAGGAGAGCGTAGGAGTTTACGGCGCCAGCCATTTCTTCAAGCACTTTTGTTTTTTTAATGCGTGCCCAAGATTACTTTTCGCACGTCCGCTACTAGGTGACGTCGAAGTATCAACACACCGTTTACAAACAAGCCCGCGATTGTCCACACGGGATGTGGGCAATACGCGCAGAAATCAGATTTGCGTGAAGCGAAGCGTCTGCGCGTGCGCGGAGCCTACAGCAGCAGCAGCGCCACCGTAGTGGCGTGACGTCGTCAGAGGGTCAAGCTGGTCTATGTGGAGCGCAAGCTCGTCTGCTTCTCTTGAAGGAGTGGCGGTGACGTCAGAAAGACGCCGTGCTCTGATTGGCTCTGATTTAAGGACAGTGGGTAGACCTCAAAGCAAGCTGCCTTGACGTCTACCCACTACCCTTCAATCAGAGCCAATCAGAACGCAGCGTTTTGGCGCCACCGCAACTCCTGCGCAAAAAGCAGACGAACTTGCGATCCGCATTGGGTTAATTGGTAAGTTACGTAAAAAAAAGAAAGACATTTAATATAACCTATAGTCGGTAACATTTTAAGAAATGCAGTGTGCGGCGAATTTCCATAATCTTATTATCACTCTTCAGTGAATGAAGATTGCGGCACCAGCCGACAGCAACGCCGAAGAACCGATCACAAAAACAGGATGCGGAAAGGTGATAAGCAATGCCGTACATTTCTCAAGCTGTCGCGGTGACTATATATATTTATATATAGTCACCGTGACAGCTTAAAAAATGTAAGGCATTGCTCGTCACCCTTCCGCGTCTTGTTTTTCTGATCGGTTCTTTGGTGTTGTTGTCGGGTGTCTTCAGCGGTACTTCCACTCTGAAAACGAGCCGGAAATATCGGCGCCTGCTCACTGAGAGCTCAGACGTTGGCCAAATGTGCACAGAGCACGTCAGCCTTACCGTGTGAAATTTCTAAGCGTGTAATTCTCTCCCCTCCCCCCCCCCCCCCCCCACCCAAAGAAAAAAAAGAAAAAAAAAAGATTAAAGAACAAAAAGTTTGCCAAACTCAATGTTGGGCGCGTTCGCAGACGACCGAGCTAGCGACGCCAATTACTCGTGGTGCCATCTCTCGATAGGCGCAGCTAGCAGGCAACGCTTTCGACGTGCAGGCACCGACTTGCCCGGCTCGTTTTACAGCGGAAGGTCTGCTCGGGACACCCTATCGGTCTTGTACATGTTACTCGATAAAAAAAAACAACAATAGATTACATTTACAATTACAATTGGTTAAAAATATTCAAATAAATTACTCGAACACTTCGGAAGGAAAGAAAATTGGCCGTTATTTGAACAAGTGACCGTTACTTTTCCGATTACTCGAAATATTTGAAACGACCGAATTTTCTGGCTGTTTGAGAAACACGTCTTTGGTTAATGTCCATTATCGGATTAAGATCCCATAACTACAAACTACTGATCCCCCTAATCCTCCAACTTTGATAAACGATCCTCCCGTCGGAGGCCTGGTTCAAGGCACAAAGTGCGTCATTAAGAATTGGAGGGATAAATAGTAACGGTTACTGTAGCAACTTCAGTATTTCCGAAGGCAATTAAATTACTCTGGTAATTACTTTCGAATAAATGTATTCAAATTATCGCGAAATTACTATAAAAAAAAAAAGAAGCAACCGATTACACGTGATACTGTTACTTCTAATGAGTACCGAACGAGTCTGCACCTTACAATTACGACAGCTGAAGAATCCCAGAGAGGGGCGTGTTCCGATTACTATCTTATTATCAATCTGCAGTCAATGGGATTGCGAGATTAGCCGATAAGAGCTTCGAAGAACGAATCGGACAGCAGGAAGCACGAACACACAAATAAACGGAACGGAAAAGAAGGCGATCACATACTACTTTGTTTTGCTAATTCAATCCGCCTTCTCTGCGTTCTGAAATCACGACCTTTTAAACCAACGTCGACTTCGTCTTCGCTCCTTGGATGCTTTCGCGTGCCGTACATCTGAACGTCACACTGCGTAAAGCAGACGCTGGGGGCACCAGATATTTCCAAAAAGATGTATTACGTGCGAGTTTTTTTTTTTTTTACGCTTTGTTGAGTTGTTTGAGAGAGTCGCGGCGCATAGCTCGGCCGCTATATACGGAGCGATGAGCTAAGATTGTGGAATCACAGCTGCCGGAGCGACGTCATTCGCCGTTCCAATCAGAGGAGTGCGTCGCGTTGAAGCCAGCAAACGAGCAAGCCAGCCTTATTAGCTTACAAAGAAGCTTGTATCATACATGAACCAACATTAATATACTCTGTTATTCATAAAAGCCTTCACGTCTTATCAAAGTAAACAATCTAGAAAAAAAGAAAGAAAGACGAACAAATCTTCGTATAGTCCGCTCCTGTAAATAGTTCGGGTAAAATTTCAACTTTTAAACGAGTATAATTCGCGGACTATAGTCGGCAAGAATAGGGTACATCGTTTTTCGTGGTGAACTATAATAAAAGACGCGGCACGTCGATTATTTATAACTACCAGTATTTCTTGTCATCTATATTGATACGCGTTTAGGCGGATATAGCCCAACAGGCGGCTCTTATAAATTTGTCTCATCGTGCGTTTTTTTTTCTTTTTTTGTTGGTTTTAGTTTAAATGATGAAAATGTGATCAAGGTGTCCCTCGTTCGCTATTGCAAACACCTTTCGTGGGTGAACTGCTTGCATATAAGTTTAGTTGACATTGGGATCATAAACGAGATAAAGAAGAATAAACGGTGAAAATCACTCCCGATATGTTCCCCCGTTAATAATTACAGTATCGTTTTAATTTCCGCGAAATCCGTGACGCAAGAGGGCATGACTCAACGATGTTGCTTTTCGAAAATGTAAATTTGATGCGTTTTCTTAAAACAATGTAAAATTCAAAGTTTTACAACCAGAAATAAAAGTGCACGAGTCAGCACGTTATTTACAAACAAGCTCGTGTTTGTCCAGAAACCAGATGTGAGCGATGTGAGTTATCTGCGCATGTGCAATGCCGATGCGCAATGCGCATGTGCAACCAGCACCACAGCAGCGGAGTGGCGTATGAGAGTTGAGTTGGTGTAGAGAAACGAGCATGTGCTCAAACTCAAATTATGAGTTATAACTAGGGTTCGGAGTTTTCGGTTTAAACCGATAAAAACCGATAAAAGTACGCCGAATCCATTTTCAAAAATTCGGTTTTAACCGAAAAAGGTCAGTTTGTAGGTTCGCCATTTTCGACTTAAACCAATAAAAACCGATAAAAGTACGTCGAATTTATTTTCTAAAACTCAGTTTTAACCGGAAAAGGTCACTTTGACCTCCCAGTCGTACCGCAGAGCCGTGGCGAAAAAGTGGAACGACAGTGCCGACCGAAACGTGTCCGAATGTATGGGATACACGGATGCCATCATGACGTATGGTTTAATGTGCGCATCATCGATCGGAACTTGAAGTCCGAAATGCCCCATGACTTCGCCACGTACGAGCCTGTTTTCAAACCCGTTGTAAGGAAGACTGGATGC